GAAAGAAAATCGTTCCTTATACGAATTCTTGTTACGAAGTATCGAGAGAATTATCAACCTTGCGAAGATATAAAATATTTGTAAAATATGAAAACGTAAGTTTCAGACTTTGTAAAACTTCACACGCAAATACGTAATAATGATATAATAATTAGACTTATAATGAAAACGACAGTTACCAGAGAGTTTGTCCAAGCTAGTCTGGAAAACGTATGCCTTATACGATCTTATCGGTGGAAATAGCAGTATCGCAAGAAAGTCTAATGAACTCGCGATAATCGCGATTTTTCCGAAAGAATCAAATGTTGGCGAACTGCAACTTAACGGGGACAAAATTGCAATTGAATACAATTCGTATTACATTGATCTTTTCTTGACACGAACGAGAATTCATAAGTATATGGAAGCACCTTTATTTAGGATGTTTTCTAGTACGTAATATCACGCTAATTATTTTAAAATGAGTTATTATTATTATTATAAGCAATTACCAATCGCTGAATACCACAGTGTATATTGCGACTCAGTGTTACAGGATTATTTAATTTAATGTTTTATAATTTAGGCGCATGTATCATAACGTCAGATTCCATAAAATCGGCGTACAACACAGTTTACAATTTCGTTGAAAATAGTGAAGTGATGTTACTCGGGCAATGTTACGACGAAAATCCTCGACTTGCATTAACAGCAGTCAACGGTGTGTATGGGATCAACGTCAATTTAACTGACGAATCAGGAACTACACGGATTATAGCTGACAAGGATAAAGGAATCCTCTCTAATGTTACATCATATATACAATTGCAATCTGATTACACATTTCATACACTAGGGACTAAAAAGTAAGTAAAAAGAAAAACTAGCATTTGATATTAAATAAAGAATTCCTAATAAAATCTATAATATATTCTTTTTAAATAGATAATTTTATATTTAAAACGAATCTTTCATAATTATTAATTTATATATATTATTTTTGCTCTTTTAAATATTTAACGAAGGAAAATAATATTAATTGCAGGATTAAAATGGGCGACAAGGCAATCGATATCTTGCTACCTAATATTTTTCTGTATATGCATTGGACGAAGGAACATGTTCTACTCTTTTTCCCTAATCATATGTTAGAATATACTTGTGGAATATGCACACTCGATCATCCCAACGTCGACAGATTGTATGAAAAACTTTAATTTACTCTGTATAGAAAATGTACATACATATATAATGCAACATGTTAATGATATCGCTAAATAATAGTTTTACATTCGTTTTTAATATACTTTTTAATATATATATATATAATAAATAGTACAGTACAAAAAAGATATCTATATAATTACATAATTAGAGCTCGGATTTTCGGCCGTCGAATCAATCAGTCGATTGATACATGGAATGTCCTTATTACGCATCAAATCAGTCCAGTTATTAATAAACTGATTGCTAATGAGCAAATGCCGGATGATATAAGCCGAACATCTGAACGATTTATTACATAATCATTTTATTGTACTCATATTGTTTTTCTGTCATAAAATATAAACTTTAGCAAATAATAAGCTTTAAACATACTCTATCTAGTTTAAATGACTAAATGATTAAAGCTCTAGATGTTAACTGATTACTAGTCTTAAATATTGTTTACTGTTTATTAAAAAATAATACTAAGAATTTTACGTAACGGTTTATAGATAAATAATTTAGCTTCTTTATTAACCAGTCTTAACCATTAAAGAACTTATACTATGTGAAATTGTATATGCAAGCACATTACATGCACGTTATATGTTACGTTAATAATTACATCCGGCATGTAAATTGTGCCTTCTTTTGTAACACAGGTTTTGTTATAATGTACTTCAAATGTTTAAAACTTCTATTTAATACATGACAAGTAATATACAAACATCGTTTTAAATTACACATTTATTTTCCTAATAATTTTCTTGTTTTGCATTATATCTTTTTCTCATTCTGTTTCATATAAAATCGCGATATGCAAAAAATGAACATTATATATGAAAAGATATTTATTAAGATACTTATTCAGATAAAAAAAGACATTTCGTTATCCGCAAAATAGTTCATTGTTGCTCATTTTGTTCGCAAGACCACTTATTCGTTTTTAAGGCACACATCTAAATGCTGGTTCATAAGATTTTCTGATATTATCTGCATACATACTGGACAGGGATATTTAATTTCCGTGGAAATATTTTCTACAGCAAGCGTATCATCATCGTCCTCATTATCCTCTATCATCATTGTGTCGTCATTAAAGAGACTTCCAATGCATTCTTCGAGATGTTCATTTAATGATATTTCAGGTGCGATTTGTGCGTTGCAAACTAAACATTTTCGTTCAATATCCGCTGCGTCGTTTTTACAAGTGCTAGTACTTGCACTTGCACAAGGTTGTGCTCTTGGGTCCTCAATCAATACAGAATCATCCAAATCAGTAGTAGAGGAACTGTTTATACTGATTACGCTATCATCGTATGACGCACGAGAGGTGGAGGGAATGGCAGCTTTGCGAGCTGTATCTGCTTCTAACAGGCATTCATCAAGATGCTGGTTAATATCCGTGGCTGGCAGCCTTTTACCACAAACGGGACAAGTAACTGATTCAACTGTTTCGTTGGAATTATCTAATCTAGCACGCTTATTGGGAATTGTACTTGCGTCAACATCTTGTTCCGCCACTGATGTGGAAAACGTTCGAATAGGCAACATTAACTCTTCATTGTTATTATTATTATTGATATTATTGTTAATCTCATCAATCAATGATGTATTATCGTTTATTAGGCATGAGTCTATATGTCTATATATATTTTCTAAGGTCATAGGTATGTTACACATAGGACAAGGTACGGAATTATTTCTTGGTTGACTTAGATTTAAGACTGCATTATTACTGGACTCTTGTCCTGTAACCGATGATGGTTCCGAGGATGAATTTCTTTTAATTGATTCACACATGCGACTTTCATCGTCGTTTATATGTTTGAATTTGGTCAGAAGATTACTCCGACCATTATTACTGCCTCCCAAAACACCGGAACAAGAAAACGTGGGATTCTTAGAAATATTCTTAGCATTATTCTTTCTCACGTTTCCACTCGGGCCACTAATACCCCAGCCATGTACATTATTACTCAAGCTGCCAAGTTTCTTCATTCCCAGTGACGAATCTTGAGTATCTTTCTCATTCACAGCACGAGACAAATTTGTACCACCATTGTCTTTACTAGTACTAGGCTTATCATTCTCTGTTTGAGTAAATATTTTAGAGTCGTTATTACTAAGGGTTTTTGAAGACGTAGGTATACCTGCATCCATCATCGGAATATTCTTTGTAAACCAATCGGTTATGTTTCTATTCGGTTTGTTCTCCTTTGATATCGGTTTTGATCTGCTATTTTGCTTTGAACGCGATTTAAAATTCTCTGGCTCTTTGATCTTTATAAATTGGCCATTACAATTTTGTTGATGTCCGAGCCACCAATAGTCTGACGGACCAGGTGGACGATTCATGCTTCGTCGAACCGTCCCAAAGAATGGTGGTTTGTGTTGGCAAGGTCCATTACATTTCCACCAATGCTGTCTGTACAGCTTTACTTCATCGTGAAAGTCGTGATAAATCTGTACTTGTTTAAAATGATAAAAAAATCTTATCAGAATAAAAATTTTTTAAGATTATTTTATTTTCTAAGATATTTTAAAATCTAATATAGTTATTATTATAAACAAGATTATTTTTAAGAATTTGCTTTTTAAAATCTATGAGTCGATTCAAATCTAGTCCGTATTTGAATGTTTGATCTTTATATAAATCCAGATTACTCAAAGATTCTCTAATATCTAAACGAGCTCAAGATGCGCAATAATTATATCAACGTAATTAAACTCGATAAAAAAAATATAAATTTTTCTTTTGTAAACGCGAAAATATTTAAATAATTAATTCAATTTATTGAAATTTGTTTTCAATCATAATGAACAGTTTTAAAGACTAACTGTAAACACCAAAAACTGTTTAAGTAGTCACATATCACTATTTGATCGTATACTCGAAATATTAAGATAAAAAGATTATTAGCTCACCGTTATATTGGTTCCTGCCTCTTTATTTATCCTGTGCATGTGTTTGCAAAAATTCGGTCCATGGCCATCTCGGTCCCGATCATTATTTGTTAAAAATAAATACGCGTGAATCATCTCATGCTGCAATTTAACACAAAAAGATAGTATCGATATACAACAGTGTACATTTTTATATTTATTCATCGAGAAATTTACCAATAAGGTTTCTACAAGATCCTTCCTTGGTCTGAGTTTAAGTAGCGGTGCACTCAGCGATATCACACATTCTTTATTACGCGCATGAAAGGTACAAACTCCAGCAGCACTATAAACACAATCACATAATACGTAAGCAATAATTAAACAAGATTTCATACTTAAGTCATGAGAAATATTTACCATTTCATTCTGTTGCTCCATTTAACTTCGACGGAAGATAAAACATTCCTGAAGAATCGTGCATTGAATTGTACAAACAATGTGTGAATATTAGGAGTAGGATCGATCAATTCCAATGCATGGTCGACCAACGATTGTATATAAAAGGCCTTTTCCTGAAAAATAAATGAATTTTCTTTCCCGTAATGCACGTAACGCACAAACGCATGTAACAAAAATATCGAATTCAAAGCAAATCTAACTCTCGATACAAAACTGTGTTCTCAATTGAAAAAAATAGCGATAAATACCTTATTCAGGCTGACTGCGTTTTCTGTCACGCCTAAGCAATTCAACTTTTCGTGCATGTCGTACGCTATGTGAAAATCTCGCGTTTCTTGCGATGCCATTATCCTCTCACAGCCTTCGTCCTCGTGCCACCGAGGAAAACCTTTACCCGGATGCCCCGAGAAACTTCTAGACGGAGTGTTGATTTATCCTTTTCCGAAGCACCTTATATCAGGTGAAAATAAACAAAGAAATATCTCTGCGTATTCCACAGGGCATTTCACGGTCTCGCGCGATGCAATCCACGTCCATTTAACTCTGAAATAAATTGAGGCGTCTCGAGCAACGACGACCGACAATCCGAAACGGTCGGGTGTAGAATCATCTAAGGTATTTAGAACGAGAAAAGACGAGAAAAAGGAAGGTACTGAAAGGAACGATTTAGCCTGGCAAAAATCAGCAAAAATCAACGAAAGTAGCGGAATGTACCGTTAGATGACAAAACCGATGTCCTGATTTCGGTCGGATCGAGTGGGATCGAGTCCTTCCTAACCTAACCCTCCTGGTCCCTCCGCGCATGCGTGAATCATCTGGTACGAGGAACGAGGAGTTCAAGCCGTTCAAGGTTCGTTCATTGGCTGCGTTCAGCCGATACTCCGCTAGCCTAGCAATCGCGAATCGTGAGCAGTCGCTCGTTTCCTCTCCTTTTAATCCAATTGAGTCAAAGGAGAGGAAACGAGCGAAAACGAGCGACTGCTCACGATTGCTAACCTCATAGAAGTTAGCCGGACAATTTTGACTTATGACATTTTTTTTTTTTACGAATCGATTGTTAGTCGTTTGTTATTGATTGTTAGACTAATTAGAACGTTTGTTAGTTAGTAATTTTTACGTAATCACGAAAATAATTTTTAGTGTTAATTTAGCTGGTAAATATAGAATTCTTTACAATTTTTTATTGCAAACCGTGGTCAATCGATTCGAAGAAAACGTACACTCTAAACATCTTTTTGTCGAGTCATGCAATATAGAACGAACATTCCTTTTAAGTTTATAGAATAGAAGATAGCGTTACTACGGTACCACTCATTTAATATAAATTAAACGGACTTATTGAGTGAATGTT